TAGGATTTCAAGCTAATCCTTCCTCTGGTGACCTTGGCAGCATTTATCAGGTTTGAGCGTAGTGTCAGAATTTTCCTCTTGTGAAATGTTGTAAACCTTGGCTCTCTCTTGGGCCATCTGTTGTGCACTAATAGTTTTGATTTATTCTTCCTCTGGTTGACATGCATGTTAATGGTGCTGATGCAAGCTTTACATTTCCTTTTATTGGTCTGTAGTCTTATTGCGTACGTTAGTGGCACAAATACTGCATTCATATTAGCTATTTATATTAACTTTCTAGTTTGGGGGTGAGTAATGTACTTAGCTTATGTTTTTACTATAATGGGAAGCCCTACATCATAGACATTTTAATAGACTTTTAAAATGATTACATTCTACTTAGTTTTACTACCTGTAATTTTTTTTCTTTACATTTTTTCTTTTAGGATATGTCACTGTGTGTATCTGTGTATTTTAATGGTTTCAAATTTCTTAATTATCTTTGCTTTTCAGTTGCTTTCATGTTGGACACATTTGATCAGCAATTAATACGGCTCTTAGCAAACAACATAAATTCAGAATGTTTGACTTTGATAAAGAGCTCTGGAAGGCCTGATTCTCATTGCTGCCTTGGCTCTCCTATTTCCAAGCTTTGATATGCTCTTCATTTAGTTCGGGAGCTTGCCAGAGACCTGGTGAGATAAATGAGGTAAAGTGATAGAAAACGAGAGCTCCCCAGGATAGGAACATGGATTAGAAGAAAATTAATGCAAAGCTATTTTTGAAATGAGGATAGATGCTTTTTATTTTTGATCTGGTTTTAACGGTTTTATATTGAAAAACCAAGCCCATCTCTGGAATCCAGTGGATATAGACCAAGTATAGGAAATGTTAAGAAGTCATTGTTGTTAGTATGGGCCTGACATGCAAAATTTGACAAATAGAGGCCCATGTTGATCCAAATAAAAGCTGCTCATTGTCAGAGTGCAGCCTGTTGTACACAGTTTCCCTCATTCCCCAGGAAACATCATTAGATATTAAATACATTCCTTTCTATCAAAGATATGGGGCCCCAAGCTTAGGTCAGAGTTTCCTAATACAAGAGAAACTGTCTTACCTAGTATAATAGGGACTACTGGAAAATCTGTGAATTAACAAAATTGGTTAAAGCAGGAGGAGATCATCAAAATAATATGTATATTTTAAATTTATTTCTTTTAATTATATAAATGTGGACTTGCTTGCCAAGTTTTGATGTAGGGCCAACATCTTTTCTTTGAGTCAGATCTGGAAGAATTCCATGTTGCCTTTCAATACAAACTACACTCACAATGCATCAACCATAATTTCCAGTATCAGTTACTCTTACTCTAAATTAGATTAAGAATTTAAAGATACTTTTTTAAGCAGTCTGAATGCAGACTGGTATTTTTTTTTCTCAGTCTTTTATGGTTGTCTTGGAATGAGTGAATTTTTTAAACTATTCACTTTTATTAAATCTCTTTTTCACACTTTTTTTATCAATTTCCCTAATATTTTTTTAAAGATTTATTTATTTGAGAGAGCATGAGCAGGAGGGCAGAGAGAGGGAGAGAGAATCTCAAGCGGACTCTGCACTGAGCTTGGAGCCCATCGTGGGGCTCAGTCTCACGAGCCTGAGATCACTACCTGAGCCAAAACCAAGGGTTGGATGCTTAGCCAACCGTGCCATCCAGGCGCCCCCAATTACCCTAACAAATACAATTAGCAAAAGTACTTTTGGGAAAAAAACAAAACAAAACTAGTCATGAATGTTCACTTGTGCTGTGGGTATCAGTAAGTTTTTTTTTGGGGGGGGGTATCAGTAAGTTTTAAAAGGGAGTGGGAAGGGTCATTTAATCTCAGCGGTTAGTTTAAGTTGGAGGTCAGTTTCCACTCTACAAGGATATATAGAATTAACATGAGACAACACCTAGTAGGACCTTAATTTTATTGTGAATTACCATTTCAACCTTCAGCTGAGCAAAATGTGGTCCTGTTCTTTTGACAGGTTAGTCTCCAATGCTTTAGCCCTCTTAAAAAGAGAAGAAACATAATTTTGGATGCTGCATTATGCACTAATATTTTGGTTCTCTTCTAACAAAGTGCTTGGAAAAGAATTAGGAGAACTGTATGAAAATGGCAGATTTTCTCATGCACGATATTGTGTAACACTGGGGAAAACTGTTTTATTCTCACAGTGAAATGTTTTGGTGTTTTCCCACCCGTGTTTCTCTGACTTCTTCTGGGAATAAAAATAACAATGTGTTGATGATAGTGTCTGTCCACAAAGTTTCCTCCCTGAAGATATCCCATGGTATCTCAGTCCTATAGAGGCTTTTCAGGAGTGCATTTGGAGATATCCTAAAATTGCTGACATAGATTTCAACAACAGTGCCAAAATATAGCTTTGTTTCTGAAAACATCACTAATAGAATTTAATATGCTAAAAAGGAGTGAGATGAACACAGTTGGGGAGAAAAAGGTGATTCAGAATTTACTGTTACAGCAAGAAGCATTTAGTTTGAAGTAAATGTTAAATGAATCAACTACACTCTCCCAGATGTTTGTGTGAATAAATTATTTTTTTAATATAAGCACTGTTAGAATTTGTAGTATACCAGCTTTGATTCCCTGCAGTTCTGTGGTAAACAAGCACTTTAAAGATTTTTTTATTTATGTGAGAGAGAGAGCAAGCGAGCACGAGCAGCAGGGGAGGGGTAGAGGGAGAAGTAGACTCCACACTAAGTGGGGAGCCCGATTCGGGACTCAGTACCAGGAACCCGGGATCATGACCTGAGCCGAAGGCAGACACTTAACCTACTGAACCACCCAGGCACCCCAAACAAGCACTTTTAATTCTAGATCTCCTCTCTGCCCCCCACCTTTCACAGTTTGCAAACTAATAATTAGAGGTAAGGCTGGTTAACTGTAATAATTTTTATGCATTCAAGATGTGAGTCTTCTTTTTCATAAATAATAATGTGTTTTTTGGCTTTCTCCTGCAAAAGTAACTGTTTGAAATTTAATGAAGAAGGAAAGTAGAAGACATTATGTGCAGAAAATCATGCTTGAAAACAATGTTTAGTATGGCATCTAGATCTTAGCGGGAAACTCAGATTTAAGTCTGAGGCTGACCTTAACCCATGACCAATGGAATCTTAAGTGTGTGTATTTTTATAGTAGCTTTAATTTGGGGCTTGCAAGTTTGTTGGTTTGTTTTCTCATTCAACTTTGGGGACCCTGAAGCAGTATTTTAATTATAGGAATTAAGCTATTTATAATTTTCATGGCATGAAGATCAGCAAATTTTGTTTTTTCTTGGCTATATTATGTTATCTTACTGAGAAATGTGTGATCTTTGTGTCTAACAATGCACTTAAAAAAAAAAAAAACTCCCATGCTGCAATGCTGGAATTCTAACAGAACAACTTCACTCATCTTTCCCCCAACTTTAAAAATAAAAAAATCTGTTCTCACAGAAATGCTGCCTTGAGTTAAACAAAGGACAAGCAGTTACTGGAAATGTTTTCTATACAGTTCTGTTGATGTATATTCATTTCAATTTGTTTATTGCATTCTAGATTTTTTCTTCACTTTGCTGATAATTGCATTTCATAATCACATTGACCTTTGAACTAAGTTGCATTGAATTTTTATTACCTTCAGCTGTGTTAAATCCTACTTGTAATGAGTCCTTCCCTATAGCAAGTTTGCTGAATGAGTGATGAAGTGAGGGGGGTTAATATCAGGTTCAGTTCTATCTCAATTTAACCATGCTCCCTTAAGTGGAAACACTAATGTATGTTTTTTTCTTTTTCTTTCTTTCTTTCTTTCTTTTTCTTTCTTTCTTTCTTTCTTTCT